GACTTTTTACATCCGCGATAAAATATGTTACTTCTTGCTGTTTATTTGTTGGAATATCAGTTGGTTTTTGCTTTTCTCTCTTATCTTCGTTAACATCTTTTCTAGCCAGCGAAAAATCACTTGGGAAAAATTGGTTCCCTTCCGTTCCTTGAGGATTACTTGTTCTGTTTTGTTCAGCTTTCTCAGCTTCTCTTATGAGGTCGATAAAAAATAACTCTCTTGGAGAAAGAGATCCTTTCGGACTCTTTGTGTCCAATTCATCTTGCGGCGTAACTGCTACTAATTTTAAGTAATCTTTCATTGATTCTCTTTGGTTTTTTAAAGTATCATTTCCTGACTTGGGTATATCTTCATCTTTATTAACATTTTTCTCCATATTTATAGTTCCAATACGTCCGACCTCATTACCTGAATTACGACGATGAATCACAAGAGGAGGAAGATCTTTATGCTTTTTAACTTTGTTATGCCAAGATTTATCCGAAATATCCATATTTGATTTATCACAGGCAATTCTATCTTTATCAGAAATTGAATCGATCGGAGGTCCATCTTGTTTTGTATCTTTCAGTTTTACATTTTGCGAATGATTGAGTTTCGTATTAATCAAGCTCCCCGAATTCAAAGAATCATTTGTACCATAGGATTGCAGTTTAACATCGTCATTATGATGTTTAATTTCGAAACATTTCCAAATTAAAAGCAAGCATAACATAATGAAAAGCCAAATTAAAAATGCGATAATCCAATTCAAAATGTACCACCCATTGGGCCAATTTTTAGCCTTGTCTGAATGATAAGCACTGATTAAAAGAGGAGACAATATGATCCAATAAAGTACAAATATACAACATGTTATTATACAAAATATGGCTAATCTATGCGGTCTCGAATATGGGCAACAACTTCTCGATTCACTCCTGTTTAACAATAGCTTGTGCTTTTTTAAAGCTATCGAATTTGTGTGTTTTGCCGCAAGTTTCCCACTCATTTTAAAGTGTACAAAAAGAAAATCGAAAAATTATAACACTATCACACTATATATTTCTTATATTTTTGCATTTCACGTATACTCATTAGCATGCATTTACCGCTACTGAATGAAAAAATCTGTAATTCCTTTCAAACGCATGAGGAAGTGGTGTCTTATCTTACTTCCTACTAACCAACATATTACGATAAAGTTTCAACGGCTAGCTATAAATGTTATACACGAATTATCAATCATTTCACTACATGTTATTCATATAAATAAGTATAGATACATTTATACTATTTATAATACTACATAACAATGATGAACGAGCTTACCAATTAAACCATCGTCTACTTGCTGAGTCTGGGCATCTCCGTTCGGCTGAACTAATTTTGATAATAAGCGGAATAACAAGGCCAACACATCAAGATTATCGGCACTACGAAGAAATACTGGAAGACACGAAGGACGTAATAAACCCCATATACGTATAATTACGAGTAGTTCTCTCAATGTATTTAAGGCCTTGTGGTCCTTCAGAAGTTCATACTGCGTCGATATTACGAAAAAGAAAAAATGAGTACGATTATGCTAGTTTAGACAAAGGAATAATTATATTTTTCAAAATTTATTTACAATACTCACACCGCCAGATTTCATTTGCAATCGCTGCTCCGGAAGACGAGCTAAAAGATTCAGAGCTAGATCCGCGACCCATTGAATTAATTGCTGCAACGACTGAAGTGTACTTGGTTCTACAGTAAATTCTTTGGGATCGAGGTGTAAAAGTACCTAGCAATAACATATTAATTATCTACTACAACTATTACATGCAATTACGTATTAATTATCCACTAGGATATAAATTTAGGAAAAATATGTTTCATTTTTACCTTATCTACATCAGTAATAGCATCATTAATTACTGCTGCTAAACTCTCTGCTGGTCCCTTATCATGAGAAATTAAATCTGATGGACGTAATAACGACTTAAATGCTGTTGCTACTGAATGTATCATAAGCAACGACGACAAATCTGCCGCCTTACTTTGTCCTGATACTAGCATCCTGAAAATACATTTTAGGGTGATCCTGCGCGAAAACTACACGAAAACTACACGAAGCAGATCCACAGACTTTCATAAGAACAATTTTTAAATATAAAAGTAATACGATACCTGTACAATGATATTTTGATGCAAAGAAATTGGATATAATGATACTGTTGTATTGGCTGTAATTGTCTATTAAAAGAAACATCCAATCTTTCACATAATGGCTCGATCATCGAAGACCTCAAACACAACAATATATCCAACCAATCTAATCCTGTTACTAAACAATATTCTAATAACGTACAGGCATAACTTAATGTCAATGATGGCCCTGTAAAAGGAATCAGTAATACGGTATACTATATTTTTTAAGGACACTGTTTCTTATATAAATTTATTGTAAACTGAATAACCTCCATCAGGTAGTAATTTATATGCATACAAATTTCCACGTGTATCACATGCTAAAAGTACACAACCTAGCCAAGATAGATCTATATTCGTTATTGAAACTGAATTTCTAAAGTACTTATTATTTGGCTCTTCAGACCGCCATGCCATATTCAGAGAAGAATAGGCTACTTCTTTTAAGCAATCACGACTTAAACAATGTATTGAAGAATCTGCTAAAGCTACTACAACGTAACTTGGGGGAGGTAATGTGGTGACTATAGATAATTTTGTAGTCGCTATCGCTGTTATTGGTGACTGACAACGATATTGCGATTGATGCTGCCATACCTATAAATTTGTGTCAAAAATATACGATTAAGCAGAAATCGGACAAATTTTATGTATATAATCCTTCCAATTTGAACACATACCACTACAGTTTTAAATGGTTCTAATGTTTTGGGCTGAAACAACTTATGAACAGGTTGCGATTTTTCTCTTAATTCCCATACTTCGACTATACCACCACTATCGCTATTAACAGCAATAACTAAAGAATCTGCATCTTCTCGAACTACAAACTTTAAATGTGTTACACTTGTATCTAAGAAAAAGAAAATTTTTGTATTTTAAAATCTGACAATGCATGATCAGTTATAAGTATTAATTATAAATTTTTCGACTTTACATGTATTGTCCTTTGGTGTGCCATCCTGTAGGAAAAAACTAGGCAGTGCTTGTGATGTAATGGTACACTTATCATCATTTTTGCGTACTAGTACTCTATAACACCTGATTGGCAAACAAATATTTCCACTACTTATGGCTACCAGAATATGGCCATCTAAAAGTTTACAATGTTTTATATTGATCTATTAGTTGTTATTGAAGTATCTTAATGTTAATTAAGACATGATTATATATATACTTTTCCCATAACATAAATCAACTGCTGTTATTCTGTGCCTTGTGCTGCCTAAACTTTCAGTAGAGGAACAAATAGGATTCTGAAAGTCTTTTGTGATCATAACAGCACCAACCATGCCAGTGGTTGAAACTACCAATACACCTTCTGCTGCTCTACCACCAAACTGTCTTACAGAAGGAACAAAGGGTAAATGATTAAATTTCTCACTATAATGAATACTATCTTTTTTCTCTGTCACAAGTCCTGTCTGAAATAATACATTTCCTCTATAAAATAATGGTACTAATGGCTCTTTAAAGTAACTCCTTAACATTATAAATACCTTTTTCCCATTATGAAACCAAGCTGCGCCTAATATATGTTCACCAACAAAACAGGTGGAACCAATTAATACCCAATCATTAAGAACATGGTCTTTAAACATCCATAATTGGACATGTCCAGTAGAATCACAAACAACTAATTTATCACCTGGTAAATCCCATTCCAATGCAGTAATAATATTTTTGTTTGATAATACCCTAATGTTATATAATAATATTGGTTAATTTTGTAAAATTTTTTGGACAGGTAATTACTTAAAAATGTTTCATACTTGTGAGTATGCCAAGGCATATTTAAGTCGCAAACATAAACATGAGATCCCCATGTCTTTCCACTGGTATCATCTAATTCTGTAGTTGTAGTAAATGCAGCTATGTTACGACTAGATAACGAGCATAAAGATTGTCCCTCATACAGGCTAAAAATTTGATTACTGCATAAACATTAAAGAATTATGTTTTAAAAAGTATATTCTCGGAGTCAAACTTAATTATAATATATGCATAAGATTTATAAAAATAAATATACCAATTATATCAAACTATTAATAGATATACATATTATGGTAAATGAAATACATGTTATCTTTTAATACTTTATTTGTTTGTAATATATTAGTATGGATAACAAATGCTCAAAATATATTATATCAGTGAAAAGTTACTTTCAATAAAATATTTAATATCTATGAAAATTTTAAAAAATTATAATGATCACATACCTTTCTTGATTTAGAAACGGTTTTGGTGTGAGTTTTCTATTTACAGTATACAGTAAATCCATTGTTGTGAGGTTATGTTATATTACAATTTAACGAACACTATGAAAATGAGTGCATGCACTCCAAAATTATTTGTATACTATACCCATGCATTGCGATGCATGAAAATTTGAAGTGTATTAATTTCAACTTTTATTAAATCAAGCACAAAATTTTACTTGAAAACAACAGAACTACATACACAACACTGTCGTCAGCATTGCGTCATGTGCTCGGCTACGTGTTTGTGCTCTGACCGATCTGAATATGCATTCTTCGTTCTGATTTAGGTCATTCAAAATTATGCCTTTTTCCATTACCTTTAGTTTACTGATTTACGGCCAAATTTTAAAGCAAGAGATTATAAAACCTAAATAGTACAATATCGTTCGTTAATATTAATCGATTTATGCAAGTGTTAATGCATTTTAACCTCATTCCGTTTGTTTTGATTTGCTTCTATCCCTCGAAACTGGCTGTATTAATAAATCATATTTGCATAGTTCTTTCCTTATTTATTTCGATTTCCTCTACCTACTTATGCCGTAATAAAAATTCAAAGTGTTGCTTAAATTTGTTGTCGACTTATGTCTTCGGTTATTCATTTTTTCATGGTGTGGATTAGAATGTAGACAGATTGGTGTTGCTTCAGAGTATTATTAAATTTCGAGATTCAAATGCATGATCTAAAAATTATAACAAGATTAAAACAATGTTGTTGGAGCGGATCACAGACTATTAGAAATCTTGTTTGTCTATATTTTTCTCTTTTGTTTACTCTGCATGTTATATTTACTTTTTAAAATATATGTATATCTCAAAATGATATATTTATCATTAGTTCATTAAATAGTTATCAGTTCTTATTTCATATAAATAAAACCTAGTAGTATGTATCAACATAATTATCCTTCCTCTAGCCTATATTATCTTTTCATACATAAAAGTGCTACCACAGTAGATTTTTGTATGCATATTTGTGTTATATATGTGTTATAATTTATGGAATCTGTATATGTGAATTTCAATGCATACCAGATATTAAGGCATACAACAATTTAATGATTTGATTATATAGAAAATGGATGGTGATCGAGCAAAGGACAACACTTCTAAACCAAGTGAAAATATTAAGAATAAGTCCACAGAACCATTAGGGCTAAGTACAAAAATTGCTCTTGAAACATTACAACGCGATATTAGGAGAGTATTACAAGAGTATGAGGAAGAATATAGGAGAAATAAGTAACTCTATTACTTATTTGCTATTTATGTTGAAGAACGAATTCCATATTTTATACTTTGTATACTGTATATATTATGTGCAGAAAATATAAAGCTTGGCTAAAGGACACTTTACATCATCGTAGTCAGTACACAACTCTTTGTTGGACTTCAGCAATTGCACTTTTGATCAATGCCATTATCCTTGTTATTGCATTCTTCACAACCAACGATACATGGTATGAATTAACTTAACTTTTATTTATGTATCAAACATAATGTCCTATTGTACAGTTAATTAATGCTTGCTGTTGATACTTTCAAGCTACTGCTTGTAACTGTATTTTGTATCGAATGTTAAATACTGCTTCCTTTGATATATAAAGAAATATAATGCGTACAATTTTTTATTGTTATAGGCACCCTACACTGCCTTATGAAGGACTGACCGTTTGTTGTTTGGTAGTATTAAATTTTATTTTAGTCGTATCCGATAATAAATTACGACATGAAGAAATTCCTTATAGAGTACGAGTTCTTCTTGACCAATTGGAAGGTACTTATTCAAATATTATTACTTTATTATATTTTAAATTTTTCTGCAATATTATTTTCCATATTTCAGTGGCAAAGAATAATTCTCAATGGAATCCTGAAAATTATCCACATTTATGCAGTCCATTGTCCCCCTGTCTAACTTTGCAGTGGACTTATCGCGATGGTCGTATAGTTAATTTGCCTTGGGCATTATTAGTTGCTGGTGATATAATTGTTATAAAACCTGGACAACAATCACCTGGATATTGTATTCCTTATGATGTAAGTTCAACATTTTAAAGCTTAATACAGTTTATCATATAAAGTAAAGGATAATAATGAGAAGTCATTTCAGGATGCCGACGCGCCGATGTTACACGCAAGAGAAGTATATAGTCCGCAGGTCCACAGTGCAAATGAAATTTTTTCAACGCCACAAGCTCGAACGCCATTGAAAAATAAAGTCTATAAACTTCAAGAGACACCCTATTTGATGAATCTTAGAATGGCTCTTGACCAAGCTCTTGATAGGCCGGTTACATATCACAATCGCAAACGGCATCTTTTAATGATTTGTTGCATCGAACAACTGGCTTATCCAGTTCTTCTGATCATCGTATTACTTGTCAATTTGTTTCGATACTTATACGCGACAGAATATTTCGGTGTCGGTTACTGGAACGAAATGTTCTTGCTACAACCGATTGCTGTTAGTATCCCTTTGCTTCCGTTAGTATTTCCGACTTGCTGGATCTTTTTAAATTGTTTCGGAATGGCTCGTTTCAAAGCTCTGTTTAAGCTTTATCAATCTTCGAAGAAACTTCAGGTTAATACATTTTTAACATAAAAGAAATTTTCCGTCCACTATTGACCAAATTATTTGTACAATATTTTCTAAAATACTTTGGTTTTAGTTTGTAGATCCTTTCGAAGACGCAGATATTTCTGGGCCTAGCAACCAGGAAGTAGTGTACAATTGGTTGGAATTAAAAGAATACTTTTTCAATATTTTAGTTGGTAAAGAACATATGATGTCGAGATCCGCCAGTATTCTACACGTCTTAGGATCAGTCACGGTACTTTAAATACACGACAATTTAATTTTTAAATAATGTGAAGGAATGAATGAAAGCAAACCAATTTCCAGGCACTGTGTTGCGTAGATAAAAAAGGGATTCTTTCGTGGCCTAATCCAACTGCAGAGAAAGTATTTTTTTTAAGAAATGCTAATACTTTATCCCCGTCTTCAAGGTAAATATACTTCTTAAGAACATACGAATTCTTAAGATCATAAATGTGACGTGTAGATTATTTTACAGTACTGGTAGTGTAGATAGAACCTCAGAACCTCAATGTCAGGCACAAGCTGAAGATTCCAAACAAGATTCAAATAAGACGTCATATATAACACATGGTAATAAATAAATGCGGTAAGTATGTCTTATAAAATATCTATTAAAAAATAAACAAATTTTCAGATTTGTCTCACTCAGCAGCCGAAGTTTTGGACCTGACTCACGATCACGCCTTGCCGTTTCGTCTACAGTTTGACGACCATTCCTGGAGACAACACTTGAACTCATTAAAACCCCTAGGTTTAGCCATCCTCCTCAATACGTGTAATATGGATACCCAAGAGCATTATATGCAGTTTTGTTGCCATGTCACGTGTGAAGCTCTATATAATGAGGATCTTGTACCGGTTACAAACAGACGGTACGTATCCATGTCGCTAGAATCACGTTTTCGTTTATGTCTTTTATCGCACTGTATTTCTTCCCCTCGTTTGTGTGCAATAGTCGAACTAATTCTTCCAAATGTCAAGCTAATTACATCCAGTTTTATCATACACATAATCCCAAGAACAGTTCAATGCAAATGGTAACATGACCAATTACTAGTAACGTTGATCATACACATTTGTCAGCTACCAGGATCACAGTATAGAAGATAAGAGTGGGTATCAAGCAAAAGATACAATGCAAAGTTCAAGACAAGTGTATTTAGTCGACGAATCAGGGAGCCTTGGACATATGTGGTCAGTCCATAGTTATTTTACGTATCCTCCGTATTTGTAGTTAATCCGTTTATATGGGTGAATGTATCTCCGGCATACATATATTCATAGGAATGTTAGTCATGGAGCAAACTCACATTTTTGTTCTATTTCCCTTTTCATTCGTCGATGTAAATTTCCATTTATTCAAATTTACGTATATGATTCGTATAGGTGTTTATGTGAATTAGCGAAGCAGATAGGTTTCCAAGACCAGGCACAAAATATATTCCAATTGGAGCAACAATTGTCTACGTTTAGACACGTCGTAAGCATTGATCAAACCCCTATGTTTGCATATCTCTAAATGGGAAAATTATAATTCTCCCTGTTGTAGCAACCAGAAATGGTTCGACGAGATATAAAGTTTGCACGATCTTTAAGTATCGCAACAAAATTGAAGTTTCCGTTTCCACACATGGTCGCCGTGGTAGTTAGAGAAAGGAGTGGCGGTGGTTTGCAACTACTTACACAGGGTACAGCGGACATAATTTTGGATTCCTGCATCGAATTTTGGGATGGTCATGATCTATGTCCACTTTCAGCATCGGATCGGTACATGGAAATATTAGCCTTTAAGACATCTAGTGCTTTTTTTATTTTTTGATATATTTATCGAATATGTACATTTCAGAAAAAAGGTGCAAGATTTTTATCAAAGAACGAGCTTAACGTCATATTGCACTGCATTTGCGTACAGACCACTAACACGTGGTATTTGCGATAGAATGACTAAGATATACTTAGAACTTCCTGCGGATAGCAAACATTTATATGCACCTCACAGAAGTCCTACTCCACTACCTTGGGACTTTCGAAACGTTCTCGATCCCAGAGTAAAAGGAATACTTGGACAATTCCATTCAACCGGTAATTATGATTACTATATATATTTCTCATTAATCTATTTAATTAATCTATTTTTATGCGAATTTTTATAGATTCTTTGCTATGTAGTGAAAACAAAGATGATAACGTTAGCGACATTGATAGTTGCTTTGAAATTCAATGCAATCAAGTCTTTATTGGGATGGTGACTATGCAGTACCAAGCCCAAATCGATATGGTAAGATATTTCAGTAAATTGATGCACATAAGATGAAGTAACGAAAGAAATTACATAAAATATTTGACAGGTACAATTAATCGAGCAACTCGACAGGGCGTGCATTCGATTCGTTCACTTCAGCAAAGAAAACGAACTAAGATCACGCGTGTTCTCGGAGAAAATGGGGCTGGAAAGCGGATGGAATTGCCACATATCGTTGCTCAGTGAAAGAGCTAGGTACCGTACCTCATTATTCTATCAAATATCATTGTCTCTATAAACTACTTTGCTTTGCTTTCTTTTGCTTTTGGATTAATCTAAAAAGTTTGGGGCATGTCCTCACGTTGGAAAGTATAAATATGTTCTCTATTTTTACGTGTAAAGTCTGTGTACAAAAACATGTTCGACACAAAGTATTACACTAATTGTATGTTTTTCGTGTTACATTTCTTCTTCTTCGTCGATTAATCTGATTATATACATATATAGATATATGTTGTCTCTTAGTGTTTTTTCTCTTCTCTAATCTTGTTGTTAAGTCTAAAATAAATCGTGGCAACTGATATAATAAATTTGTATAACTAGCTATTCGTCATAACTGTGGATGTGAATGTAAAATATGCATGTACGTTACAGGAGACAGCAATGGCTGGAGAGATATCCGCACATGCCCCCATCGTATATGTTTGTCTATACCTCTTTCTTTCATTACTGTTACTAATTTGCATGTTTATTCGTTACGCCCTTTAATAATAATTTCTTTTCTTATCGGTTTTTACATAGAGTTAAACGTTTTTCGAATGCAATTATATGATTTTCTTGTCCCGTTTGATTTCAAGTCTTGTCAAGTACTCTAGCCGACTTTCACGTTTAAGTACTGTCTTTTACCGATATTTTCCATGTATCCTATTTATGTTAATGACTAGAGTATTAAGTTAAATTGATTGTATTTGCGCTGGTAGTTACTGGTCAATTACGTTCCATAGTTTTTAATGGCTTCTTATTAGCGGATACAACTTTTTAACTACATCGATTCTTATACACTTTCTACAGTTATTCTAATGCACATGTGTTAATATCTCGTAATTTACGTGACATACATGATATACACAAATAAATGTATGTAACTAACACGCCAATATTAGGTCCGAGAGTCCAGTGGGTTGGTGGGTGAGCCAGGCAGCAGCCATGTCCTCACCCACTCCCTCGGCCCAATCTCATCAACATAATTACTCCTGCATGGATGAGGCCAGCCACTTGCTTAATCGTGTCTCTCCTCGGTATGTTACATATTTACCCTCTTATCACACATAATACACTAAATAAATAATACATTCATCGTTATATTTTATTATATACACGTATCAATTTTCGATTAAAAAATATGCTTTCGCTTCACGAATACGATAGTCGATTAAAATATCGCTGAATACTTGAACATTAAAAGCATGCATTCAAACATTTCTGCTGCATAAATATGCTGCATCGATGTGTTTGTGTTCTAAGAATTTTATCCTGCATGAACGATACACGAGAAAATCGCTTTTACATAGTATGATCTATTTTACATTGTAGCACTAATCTGGATAATAGTCGTGCGATGAGTATGTCCGCACCGAGCGCTATAAACACCGATTTCTCCACGGTAAAATTCGACGATGAGACCACGGAATGGAACGATACAGGAACATCTCAAGTCAAAAGCGCTATGAGCCATAGGTTCGTCTCTATCCAAACTTGAAACGTTTCTTTGAGATTACCAGTCTTTATGATTATTTCGAGTTATAATATTATAGCTATGATATTATTCTGATTTTGCATGGCAGTCTAAGTCACCTAGTACGAAGGATTACGAGAACGGGATCGTCACACTTTTCGTAATTATTTTTCGTTCTCTCCCACACTTTTTGTATAGTCTCGACTCCTTTTGGTATATATTTCTCATGTTTGGTACTTTCATTACCATTGTACTCATACTTTGATTTTACATACTCGTAGATGATCAAGTCTTCTGTTAATAATTTGAATTTATAACAAAAATAAATATACAAAATATTTAGTAAGTAACCGATTTTCAATAGGGAACAGGATACAGTGCGAAGCGAAGACAGTGTACTTGTACAAAGTGTAGATTTAGGTTCCGGACAAGAAGCATGGCGATCTTTGAGTTGTCTTACAGACAGCACGGAGCAAAGTGCTCCCGTAAATTTTGATTTATCAAACAGGGTAAGTTACTGTGATAAAATCTTACCCTGGATGTATTTTTATACTTTACGTATTCTTCAGGCAAAACTACCTCGAGGCATCGATAAAATTAGACCGCATATAGAATTAATAGATAATGTTCCTCTTTTGGTATCTCTGTTTACTGATTGCAACACTACTGTTACAAGGGAAATGTTGCACATTATGCAAGATTACGGAGAAGTTGTTTGCGTACTTGGCTCTTCCGCCAATGCAGAGAACATGCCCATCTTTATGCAAGCGGATGCAGGGTAAATATTATTATTACTTTAATAATTAACGAATGATTTTCTACAAAATTATTAGATATATTACACGCATACAATGTCATTCACAAACTACATCTTTAGCTACGCAACGACCAGGAACTTGATAACTCGTACCATAAACAGTGTCTTTCTCAATTTGAGCAGATATCACTGGTCGATAGCATACACGAACCCTTTTTGAAGATGGCTCTACGTATTGATACGACAATTGATTTGTAGTGTAATAGTTTGTTTTGAATTTAGTTTGCCAGAATTCTCTCTTTCGTGGTCTTCTAACTATAGGAATACCAAAATCTTGATAAGATTCCTTCGTTACTGTGTTATAATCCACTGGCATTGGATGCCGAGCTTTCCCTTGGTACGGTTTATAAGACATTGTTTTCACGTATCCAGGATCTAAGTAAGATTGCTTGAAAGTAGATGTCATGTCGTGAAAACCACTGATAGATAAACATGATGTTGGAACGAAAGCTCTGCGCAATTTTCCAGTTGTAGCTTGGTATGAAAGTTTATTCACCGTGTCAAAATCGAACTTTCCAGTTTTACTACGCACTTTCTTTTCGTGTACCCCGTAATGAAATTTTGGTTTAGAAATACAATCGTATTTCATATATGACAAACCATATGTGGTCTCTGACTCAATTTTCAAGGTTGGTTTCTTGTAAGATTTAGAGTATACCATAGGACGCACTTTACGTGATTGCAGATACACAAAATTCTCATCCTGACATATAGAATTATCTGGTTTCTTTAAAATCGTCGATGTACGACGAGAAACGTCCGTAATAAACGTCATGTTTATAAAAATTGAATTTTGTTTAAAATAAGGTGGTATAAAATTTAATCGACACGAACAAAAGTAGCAAATATTATTCATACATTCGTACATTCAACTGTTTCATGCATCATTCAAGCATAAAATAATGATGGAAAATATTTGTGGTTTTAGAGTGGCAGTGGAACCACTTTATCCACAAGTTTGTCAAAGAGTTCCAGCATTGACACCAACTAAAGAAGATCAAGGTCCATCTCCAGTCGATTTGAGTAGAGCACTGAATTCTATTGCCTGTTCGTTAAGCGTTAAACGAGAAGATCCAATTGCGATATTCCATTTAATTATGGAGGTAAATGATGGGTTCCTCAAAATATCCAATTATTAACCCTATTACTTCTTTTGAATCATTTTCTATCCAAAAGTGTTTTCTGATAGTTGAAGTAAGACGGAAATTAGGATATAAAAATTTAAAGATCATAGTACGATTAATTAAATATTTGTAATCCAGGATTATTTCAGTTACATTTTCAGTTCTAATTCAGTTCTTATTATTGTCGTCATAATTACTGGATATTATCTATTACATATTTAGGCTCGACATTATATGACGTGCCTTTGGAATTGCGTGCAATTCTGGCTCTGTTGTACAGTTACTCTCTCCTTCACTCAAGCTCTGTCTGGTTTCTTGTTGCTACCACCTCTATTTTCGGTCGATCAAGTCTTATGGTTGTGTTGCTTAATCATTCCAATGTTATCTATATCCATGATCGCTACGCCTATGGATCCTACCATAATGCAACGTGCAACTGGGAAAAATCAGTGTACTGTAAATGGCGAGGTAAGAAATGCATCGCTAGTTTTACATTTCTCTACTAAATTCAAAGTGTTTTGAAATACCTTATGTATACTATATAAATTTTTTAATATCTAATTGATAGGTAAATTCTTGACTTTTCAGGTTGCATTGTTCGTTCTGTGGTGTTACGGCAGCAAATTTTTACCAACAATCATAACGATAGTACTATCACAGTGTATTTCGTTCTTGACTTTGTGTCCTATTTACACAGCAGACTCCAAGTGCCTGTATGTGTATCCCGATGCGCAGGGAAAAGTTTCATGGGGTGGTTGGGGGGATAAACCAAATATTATTTTAGTGATACAACATTTTGCCTTGTCCCTGTTAGTTTTACATTTAGGTAAATTTTACTATTTTCAAATATTTCAAAACGATCTACTGAGTTAAATTCTATTTGAACATTGAATATTTCTTTTTGTACAGTAACAATATCCGTAGGCTTTGTACATAGGGAATATTCCATTTGGAAGAAACAGCCATTCAACAATTATGTATGGTTCTTCAGTGCATTTATAGCGTGAGTATAAGATTTACGATTACTAAGATATACGCGAAACTTTATCTTCCATAAAAAAATATCCTATTCGAAGTACGTTTTTGTAGATTATGCGCACAAGCAGTATTCTCAGGAACTGTGTTCTGCAAATTTTGGAAAGACGAAGGACAGAATATCGAAGATTTTCCTCTACATCTTCCTCTCTTTTTTTTAGTTTCATTGCCATTAATTTTTGCAATTAACGAATTAATCAAGTGGCAAGAGATTAAGTAAGTATAAAAAAGGCATTAGGAAAAACATTTAGTAAGTTTCTAAAGTCGAAAATTTTTAGGGTAAACGTGAGATATCAAAAGAGGGCACGACTTGAATTTGGTACAAAACTTGGAATGAATTCACCGTTTTAAAGAATTTTTATTTTAAATATGTCAGAGAAGAGATACGAAGGTAATAGTAGCCAAGCTATGAAAAATGTATTTCCTGAAAATCGAGATCTTTATCTTATCAGAAATCTATTCTGAGAAATGCACTAAAAACTCTATCCAAAACTGTAAATTATAAAAATAACGTTACGATTTAGAGTATAAATTTGTTCAGATAGCTGTATACTGTTTGACACTTGAAAAATATTTGAAATCGTCTATTTGAAATTAAACAATGTTACTGACGATCTTGCAGCCCTGCGAGATAATCGAAATTAGTATTCTAAACAGTGTAGTTTTGAAATGTGTATAATTGTTTTCGTAATTCAATAACTTGATATCAAAGTATTTATATTTTTGTATAATACAAAACGATAACGGTATTTTATATGTTAGAAGTTAACGTGTTGCAAGATAACTGTTTCAGATTTATGCGATATGATATATTTGATTTTCGAATTATAAATATTGTACACTATACACAGAAGAGTACCGTGCAATACTTTATTTTAATTCGAATTTGATTTGACGCAATTTAACTTGTTGGAATGCATTCTTTTGCGAAGATAAGATCCATGTTTATGGATAAAAATTATGGATAACGTAATTTCATATATGTTAGAAAATTCGATCTACAATTCGGCGTGATATGTATAAACAAAAATAAAAATTCATTTAATTTTACGAATTTAGTACTTAAATAACAAGCATAATGAAAGCATACTATATGAAATAATGAAATACCGCTGCTATTTAGATTTAATAGCCATAGTACATATTATTTCTAGCAAATATGTATAGATTTAGAATTGTTGTGTTCCTATAGAAAGTAATTTATTTTTTAGCGATAGAGGAATACTGCTTTCAATCGAATATTTTTGTGTGCCTGGTTTATATGATTACGGTTATATTATTTGCAAACATTTTTTTGTGCGAATGTTTTAAAGAAATGACGTTGCAAAGTATCATAGGTTGCAATTAAATAGTAGGAAAAACGAGAAGTTAATATTTAAAATCGATGACTAATATAGCACCCGAGGAATATTGAAATATTTCGATGTACCTTACGATACATTTAAGATGCTAATATCTTACCCTTCTTTTATTCTAAAAGATATTCTGTTTTCGTAATCATATTGAAGTGAATTTTATATCATTTTATTTCTTATCTATATATTATACATTGTTACGAATCTATACATAATTAAAATAAAAACGTGTACAGTTAATTTAAAATTCGAGCTTCGTTAGATCAATAGACAATTTCAATTGTAAAAAGGATGTCTAAAGAATATAGTTTATGTATATTACTAGAAACTTTTATATTTTTGATTTTTATAAAAACGATCGAAGTATTTGGTTAAATATAATAACTGTGAAATAATAATTATTAAAAGTAACAGAAACTTTTTCCTTAAATTTAATATATTCCTGTCGTTAATTTCAACATTTTCCAATTTAACGTTTATGATGTTTTGGATAAATAAATCATACAAGAAACATAAAGTCATCTTTCATAATTATTTATTATTTCTTGAACTGTAGCTAAGATCAGCATAACGAACACGGCCAAACAAATAACAACAGAGTGTACAGCTTCATATAATAATTTCGGCGAAAATACTGACCAAACGAACAAATGATGACGCTGAATACTGATTATAATTGTGTAAATAGCTATTGGCAACAATCTCCATGTAATACATGTTTTGCTAAATCGCGTAATAATTTCAGGAGTACTGAAAAATAACATTACCACTATTACATTAGTATTCTATTATTTGAAAAATTAAATTAAAATTACTCACTTATATGGATGTTGTAAGATCGCATGATAAATAAGTAAAAAATAGGCCAAAACCGGTGCTGCATAAGTATTAATTAATAATAACGAACCATTAATAAATGGCATGTATGACTGTACACCAATGTAACCCGCAGCTACATCGATAGTCGCTAAACTATTAGAATTTCCCTGGTAAAAAATCGATTGTTTTGTTTAAAATTCACTTTACGGCACTAATAACATCAGAAATTATCTAATGTTAGACTATTACCTGATAAAAGTAAAACACATTGCCGGCCAAAACATATAATACTTGAATATCTTGCGTAGTACCGTTCTTATTAATCTCATAAATCACGCTACTAACGATTATTTGAAATGGCAAGAGTATAACACTGTGTGGTTGATGAAGCATTGCTGCGATCATAATCCACATTTGTAGAATAAAATACAATGAAATTCTCAGAAAGGAGCTAGCATTGCATTTTCTTATATGGATAAGATCGTAAATGTAATTTACAAAATTCATTATGAGTAAAAACCAGTAAATTTGTACTTCGAATATTCCTCTGTAACAAATGATCACATTTCAAAATATGCACAGATTTTTAATGTAAGCAACAAGCTTACCTAGTTTGAGGGTAAAATGGTATTTTGATAACCATATTATTATGCATATGGCGAAGATAAATGCACATACAAGCTATTGAATTCAACAAGAACGATAGATCTTTACGCTTCCTACTCCCGTGAATAAGATCGATCCACATCAAAAGTACGAGACCTGAGAAAATGGTTTTAAGACTTTACAATATGTTTTAATTTTGTTACTTTAAATGGTAAATTATAATTTAATTACCAATGATAAGCACAATCGTCATGCCCATCTTGCTTTCTTGTTTTATTAAAAATCCTGCTATGTCAGGAAGATGAGCATACTTATCACCGGTACTATTTAATTTTCTGAGAGTTCTGTGTCCTATCAGTAGTAATAAAAGCTTAATACTAATTTGTGCATGTAAATTTTGTTGGTAGTGGCTGAAACGTGATGCTAAAAACTTAATATCCTAAATAATTTAGTACTTTATGTTAATAAAAAAATTATCTTACGATCGTAAAAATTTTGTAATAAAGTTATAAAGTAGCGATACGAGGGCTGTAACCCAATAGAAATACCAAGTTTGATGTTCTTCCTCAACAAAGCTAGTACCAGCAAGGCTAATTGCATGTATTAGGCTCCCAAATGAAAGGAGCCACTTTTCTACTCCTTTGTCAGTTTTCTAATTTTTAAAGAAAGAATCGTATTACAATGTATGTAAGCAAACCTTTTAAGTATTTGAATTTATATAATTTCTTTTACCTTAGACCTAAAAATGTGAAAGCCTCTAATATTGGCAAGCAAGTAAGAATTTATTATCAAAACAATCATTATGCATAACGTTATCACAGTGGCAAGTAAGTTCTTTGTATCAAGTAGCACAGTGTTTTCATCTTTCCAAACATAACTGACAAATAGCCATGAAAGCACATTTAGAATAATAAAAAATGCAACATTTTTTAGTGGTGCTGACTTGGAAGACATTTTCCCCAATAAGATGCAAATAATCTGAAATAGTTAAGTCGTTATATAGAAGAGTTAACATAATGGAGAATTGAGCTAACTTTTGATTCTTACATGGCATAAAAAAATTATAGATATTGTTATTATCTGGAAGTCATATTTTATTATGCTATACATAAGGACTTCTTTCATCCCCTTCAATGCAGTCTTATAGCAAAGCACAATATCATCTGTCATACCATCTGGATGATCTTTGATGTTTAACCATGCATTGTGAAGCTTTATTGCTTCCAAATATTTGTGATATGCATCTGTAATAATCAATAAATGCATGATATTGTCTCAAAGTTAGTTAAATATAATTGATTTACTCACATTCAGACTCATAATTAGCTAACTTTTTGAAATGATTAAATATTTGATTTGAATTATAATAAAGTATAAATAACTTTTTTGAAATAGGTAAATCATATAAAGAGTCCAAGAAGATAGTTCCTATATTAGAATATGGTATTGGCACTCCCAAGATAACAGATAATGTAGATGCAATATCTATTTGTGATATTTCTATGGGACCTTCAATGTGATTTTTATGACTTTTTCCACCAATTGCAATAAATGGTACAGTTGTTTCTGATATTGTTGAACCACCATGACCACCAGAATCTTTCATCCCATGGTCCCCACAGACAATAAACAAAGTAGAATCATTATTTTGATTCTGAAGATAATAAGTTTATATTGATTTTATAAATGTATGAAATGAATTGTAATTTCTTGTGAAAAAGATGTTTCATATTATACTTTGGTTAAGCATAATATTTTAGATATTATACCAGACCTACCCATTCTTGAACTTTAATCTGAATTTCTGCTATCACACTATCCATTTCTTTAAGTTTGGTTTTGATCAGTGGACTAAATGGTCCGTGAACATGACCAATATGGTCAAGTCCTAAGTAATGAAGAATCATTATGGACCAGTTATTATTGTTATACAATTCTTTGTGTATATGTCTAGTTACATTATTATCAACCTGAATTGGAGAATTTTATTGTATGTAATTATATATAGTACTGTATAAAGATATAACAAAAACAAAAACAGAAAATACCTCAGTAAAATCTGTTACAAAGAATGATGTAGTACCATCATAACGATCAAATATAGAGGGAAATAATGTGATCCAAGTATCATCTCCATAGAATACTGATTTGTAACCAGTTCTTTTTGCTTGGAGGAGCACATTGTCACCGGTAACTGGTTTACTTCCAAAATTTAGAACTACATCAATAAAACTTGGTATCATACCGGTGGTAATTGCCTAAGTTATATAAAATATTATTTTCTTTATATTTTATATAGTTTTATTTTATATTTCTTTATATAGTTTTCAAGAACAAGATTTACAATGAACTTTATTTAAAACCTGGCACCTTTATTCTAGGCATTGTAACAGTTGGTAGTTGTACTTTAGTTTGTAATAGAGAAGCTGAAGAATTTGATATAAGGCTACTTGTTACAGGCATTGCAATCTTTCCAATTGAGCCCGTTATAAAATCCCACCTCAAAGCATCAATGACCATAATGATCAATCTTTTAGCTATTGGTTGATACAATGTATCTATCTTTACTCTAAAAGATTTGTGGTATAAATTATATAAAATACATTTCCTTTGCCTACCTATATTTTTTACATATTTCTTGAACTCACCTTGTATTTTCAATAAATTCTGGTATATTATCTTGTGTTGCTATAGTGTTATCATAGTACATCAAAGGAAAAAACCCATACAAAAATAATGCAATGGACAAGAATCCAACAAAAATTATATATAATAATATAACAATATTCCTATCCATTTCTTTTTCTGCAATTAAAGAAAAATTTATAGGCACATACAAGTGCTTCATTGATGTAATACAATACAAAATAATTTTAAATTGATAACTATACCTCTCATTTTTTACTATAATAATTAATTTCACCGTATCAAAAATTTAATTTATTTTATTATAAATTTTATTTATATGTTACTTTCTATTATTTCCATATTATTTCATATAACTTTAAGGTTAAGCTATCAAAAGACCGAATATGCAACAGTTTCTTAAATACATTTTTGTCAGTCTTCATTTCCTCATTAAGAAAATATTACAACCTATAATTTGCTATCACTTATAGACATAAAATGCCTTTCAACATTATTTTATACTATAAGAACAATTTCATATTTTATATGAAGACTGTAAACTAATCTCTTTTTCTCGCGGTAGCGGTAAATTTTAAGCCAAACAAAACTAGCGACAGATGTATGTTATCCCCACAATTACTAAAATTTGTCAAACCTATAAGCTATAAATAGTCTAATACATCCAACAATAAGAACAAAAGGATCATTGATATATAATTTTCTAATTGATCACAAATACATATCTTCTATACGGGTAATTCTAAAATACTCGACAAGGGTTACCAACTAACCGCAGATACCAGACAATTGAATGCAAATATGTTTTCTTTGATAGATAATTAAAATTAAATTCAAACCTTTATATCTTTTTATTAGTTTTTAACATATTAAATATTCTAAAAAGATCAAATATAATGTTTTATACAAACAATGATGATTATAAATCACGCTATATTTCGTTGATAAAACTCGAACACAATCCGATCAATAAATGGAAGCCGACTTTATTTTACCAAGCAGAATTCACTCAGTCAGCAGGCACCCGCAGCGACGCATTATGTTTCGGTAATCAGAATTTCAACGTAGCACAATTTCTTACTTTTCGTCTCTAACAATAAGTTATACTATCACATTGTTTGACTCCTTTGATACACTGTGAGTATGTGGAATTAACGAAGATAATTTATTTCGTTTCCAAACAATTTTCTCTTTACTATAACAGTACTACTATTCATTTGTATACGAAAACATTTTGTTTCCTTCAAATTTGAAATCGTAAATTTAGTAAAAAATAATTAATTGAAATTTCTAAGTGAAAATATTTTAAAAGACACCTACAAATAATTTCAGAGGGAAATGGCATCAATAGAAGAAAGCTGGAAAGAAGCAATTGATGGATTAAATAGTGATGTCTGTGACACATGGTTCACAAAACTACAAGAAGCTTATTCAGAAGAAAAACGTACTTATCATAATCTAGATTCTCTTCATGATAAATTGAATTGTTATTATGAAATTAAGAATAATTTAAAGAATCCACAAGCTGTGCTTCTTGCCTTATTTTTTCAAAAGTAAGTAACAACATAAACTCAAGTAAAGAAATAATATGAATAAATTATAATTTTAATAATTTAAATTTATAGCTTTGAATATGATCCCAAAGCTTTAGATGGTGAAAACAAGAATTTGGAGCATTTTAATGCATTTGCAGATGAAGCTGAAATTCCTGCTGTAATTATCAGTTTATGATATAAGATTGTTATTCTCATCATTAGATAGAAGAATATACATTTTTTACATTGTTTTTTTATGCACATAGGATGCACAATTAAGAGAAGAAGCTTGTGAACTTCTGAAAGTAGCTGCAACACATAGTACTGATGCACATAAAATTGGTGGTGCCTTTGGTGGTGAAGATGCTCATTACTTTTTAGATTTGGACATGGCTGTGTTAGGATCTTGTCCAGAAAGTTATGCAGAATATAGAGAAAAAATACGTGGAGAATATTCTTTTCTTAGTGAGCCAATGTATACTGCATTACGTTTAAAGGTAACAGTACTATTGAATGTATTATACTTAAATATGTCTATTCCTTCGCATATGTACACATTATTTTCTGATTATTCTTTTTTCATATTAAAAAAATTAGGTACTGCAGAACTTTGTGCAGATCCCAAATATTTTTGCCACAAAGGAATTTCGAGAAAAATATGAAGAGCAAGCACGACAAAATATTCAAGCTGAAGTTGAATTGTTGTCTTAGGATAATTAATGAATTTTATGCATGGGAAGATGTATCTTTATGAAGTCTTTGTTACCAAATATGTTTATTACTTAATTAATTAAAAAGAAAGAAGTAAGGTTCCAATTGACACATAATTCTTTCAATGTGTCAGTAGACTTTGATCTCCATGTAGAGTAAAGTAGCACAAGCCTATATTTTGTGTATTAGTATTTAAAGTGATGGATGTCAACAGACATCGTACAGAAGTGTAATATATTATTAAATAAGAAGTACATTCATGTCCCGCATTTAGTATCAAAATTGTATGATAGAGTCTGTTTCATTAAATAAAAATAATTCTCATAATAAAATAAATTATAAAGCTCCCATTTCCAATGCTAAATCTTAGGCATGAATGTATATCTTTCTGTGTTAAAATGATATTCTGATTTTGTTTAAATGTTTCTATGTTTATTTATTTTTTTTATGCTTTCATTTCTAACACATTTGTTTCAACAATAAAATGCTAAAAGTTATTTATCAATGCTTTTTATACTAACAATACATAAATAAATTTTTAAACATTAAAATATATGTTTGTGTCTTGGTGATTGCTTCTAATTAAAGTTACACATGTATAATATCTATAAGTGATATGAAATTTGTATGTATTCAACTAATGAGCAAATTTTAAATATTGTTATATTGAATTACATATGGATTAAACTCACAGTTGTAAAAGTAACATAATGTAAAACGAAGCCAAAGAACTGTCAATCTGTCGTATAATACAATTTATTTTATTTAATTGATTAAATTGATGTAAAACTTTAAATATGTTATTATAAAAAATATATGAATATTTATGTATTATTTAATATTTTGTATGTTATTCCGTAATATCAAAATGAAATTCAATTGTTAACAGAATACCTACACAATTCATCATTGATAAGGACAGTATCGTTTGAAAGTATACTTTACTCTTTTGTTTTTTATTCAATTAAGTATTACTCCATGGCCATGCTAGGGGGCCAAATAGGAAATATTGGCAAAGTTACTTACGTCAAATAATGCAATTTACAATACAATTTCAATTAACTGAATGACGCCGATTGAAATGATGTGAAAAGACCCAGGTTCTTAACTCCACGGAAGCGCGCAATATTTCGATAATTCAAATTAGTTCGATATATCGCATAGATCGATACCGAGTTGAATGCTATCTATGCTTACTCTATTCCATATGATGGAAACGATTTTAAAAGTTATTTAAAAATATATTTAAATACTCAAATAACATCTAACAAATATATTTTTAAATAAATAAATATTTAAATAAATTTGAAATATATTTTTATATTCAAAAAAATAATAATATTAACATCGTGTTCAATACAAGAGGACAATATTTCGTTTATATTTCCAAATATTCAGTAACGATGGACTATCTTTATTGATCCTGTTTTAGGACAAAATTGATTAATCAACATGTTTAGTTTGGTTTCTAAGTAACCATTCGTGATTGTATAGATATGAGTGACAAGTATTTCAAGGAAAAATTATTCAATTATTAAGATAGGCGCTAGTTATCAGATGCAACTTGCCAGGTGTAGCCATATCTTTAATCATATACTCTATTTATTATATTTTATATATTTTCTCAATTAGATATGGATAACCATTTAACGAACTACGATAACGAACGAGAGGTGAGGATCATTATAATTTTACTACTTCAAGTAGTACCAATGTCTTTGGTAATACCTAATTTTTGGTAAATCTGATGAATATGGATTTTTATTTGCTTTGATTTGTTACATGTTTGTAGGCACCAAAATATCAGAACACTTATCGTCTGAATGCTTGCAATCCTTTTAAAATAGATACAGTGGATAAGATTGTAAAGACGATAATGATAACTAAATTAGAAGATATCTCTTATAATGCTGAGGAGTGTCTGAAGCTTTGTGAGTTAGTAGCCACTGAAATTAGAGAAAAAATTAAAACTTTGAACTTCGATAGGTAATTATTTTCTTATTGTTGATACACTTTATCTTAATAAATCCAGGAATTATTATATATTTTAATGAATTACATTTATATTCAGATATAAAATCGTAGTCAATGTGACCATCATAGAGAAAGCAAATCAATCTATACAATCATCTATAGGCTTTCTTTGGGACGCTGGAAAAGACAATTACTCCACATTTACATACGGAGCTCGAACTTTTCATGCCTACTGTTGTGTATTCGGCCTTTATTGTGAATAAGTTGAACTATCACCTTCTTAGTAATTTTTCGCTCTTATTATCTACCAAACTACGTACAGTCGGTCTCAAAAATATTCGAACACTACCATAACTTTGACTTCTATGTTCTATATCTGAAACAGATGAAGATAAAACAATAAAAATGTTTTACAATATATTGAAGTATAGTATATATGTGTCAGAATGAAAAAAATTTTGACTTAAAACAAAAATGAATTGAACCGTAGAATTAATAAACAGACAACAATAAACACTAAGGAAAAATGATAAATTCAGTTAATGGAATAATAAAATACAGCGTCGGTTACTAATAAAAAATAATCAACATACTAAACTGCTTAAAACATGTTATTGAACAAAAGAGTGAGTTATAAAATGTCCGAATATTTTCGAGACTGATTGTATGTTAATATTTATTCACGACGAAATTAAAATTTGAACAATGTTCTCTTGATTTTCATCAGATCATTCGCTTTGTAGTATCGACGTCAATGAGTGATAGGTTTTTACCAATAATTGCGAGAAATTGCAAGAACATGTAGTAAAAATAAGAATCAACTCGTGTATGCATACACTGATTTAAACACAACTTTGTTTATCTTTACCGATTGCGTACTCAAGAAAATTATTGTCATAATTTATTTAAAGCTAGACACAATATCTTTTCTAATTATCATTCGCAATTGCCAGGTTCAAATCATACAAGTATTTATCGCAACACTACGATCAATAAAATCAAAGATTTTCATTTACCTTGTTGCTGTTATGGTTTTTATGATTCTATAGTTTATTAATATACGTATATCAATAACCAGGTGCTTTTTTAACGTTACGTTTATCTCGTGCGTTTCTTATCCAAGGTAATCTAATCTAGTTTGAGAAAAATAAAATCTTTTAGCTTGATATGAATTAGTATACAACAAATTTAACGATTGCAGTTTCTTTTTCAACAAGTATATTCGTTAACAATTAAAAATGCTATGCTATAAAAATGTTCTGCTTCGTTGAAATGCATTTCCTCTTTAGTATTAGAATATTACAGAAATAAAAGTCATTGATCGTAAATTATTAAAACATAATTATAACCGTCGATAATTGATGTAAAAGAAATGCTGTCAATATACGTATGTACTATCATAAATTGTTAATACAAAATACAAAGTTTATACAGATGTTTTTCCATGACATACGCAGACTGAATTGTTTTATTTAAGGTAGGTTTTATAAAACCAGTTGTCAAACCGGTTATCGACCATCAAAACATTTTACCCGTCGAATTTTCTGTATTTTCTGATCCATACAGATATACGAATTACATTATATCTTTTTTTTATGTACAGTCTATCAGCAATTTGAATATACACTCGGAAATACTAAGCCTCGTAAAGCATTATAACCTGAGGCTACTGATAGGACGTAGTCGAGGCAGTTCCCTGTTATAAAAGAAAGGAACGCTTAGTTAGTAACATTTGTATCGCACAACTGGAGTAAGTGAATAGCAGAGATTGAACGTACGTATCTATTATACAAAATTTGCAATCCACAGTTGTCTTCGCATGATAATTTTACTTTTTGTTTCAAATACAATACGGTTCCATCTTTTGTGAAATAATGTACATATGCTTTATATAGCGTTTTTAGATAGCGTTCTTCCTAAAATGTGTCGTAACTTATGTAACATACGTTTTAAATTATTCACTGTGTACTTATTCCATTTTAGATTACAGACACAGCATACACAGCATGCAGTTCTTTCGTAAAGGAAGTATGTCGAGAGTAAACATTTTTGCGATATTAGTTACACTTTTTTGTTTGACAAACGAGTTAGTTTTAAGTGATAGTAATTATTGTTATTCCGACGATGAACATCCCTATCTATGCGCTGGTACGAAGACGGCTTATGAAGTCGAACATGGCTTAATTAAAAATACTACTCTTCCAAGTAAGTAATTACAGAGTGTCACTTTAGAATACATAATGTATTATAACATGTCGAATAGAATAAATAGTGTCGTAACTTCTAATATATTTTGTTCTCCTTTGATTATTTATAACTGCACTAAGCGGTCGCACGATCATTAGTGAGGCAAAAGAATAAGAAAGTTGTGTGATTACAGACTGTTATCATCTGAAATATTTTGAATAACGTAACAACTCTTGCACTGATACTTTTTACTTCTGCTTCTTATTTATACATTATATATTTTTTACTGCTTTTTCCCCTAGATTGCAAGCCAGTCCAAATTTGGATGTTAATTAGGCACGGAACTCGCAATCCTGGAAAGAATCAGATCAAAAGCATGAAACATAATTTGCCAAAACTTCAAAGTAGCATCATCGAGAATCATGAAAAATATGGAAGTAAGTAAGAACCTCGAAAGATCTTTTTGTCAGTTCATAATAACTTTCCGTTTTCGTATAACACGATGTATTTATAGATGGTAGTTTATGCCAGAAGGACTTAGAGAAACTAAAAACGTGGAAGTTAGATCCAAATCTTAAAAAACACCGATCCAAGTATTTGACAACTCAAGGTGAAAAAGATTTATCATCGCTTGGTGCACGGTTTAAAGATTATTTCCCGGAACTTTTGCAATCCTATCCGGTTGATACTTTAAAGAAAATATACAAAGTAAGCCTTTAACGCGTAATGTTTACATACTTGGATGACAATCGATTCATTTAACTTTGATATATGTATAGTTTAGGTCAACAGATCTGCAACGAACTATAGCTAGTATGGAAAATTTTATTAATGGGCTCTTCGGTAATGTAACCATCGACAACACGGTGGTAGTACCAACTTCTGAGGATACTCTGTTACAGGTTGATAAAAATATTGATACTAATCATCAGTCATTAAAATAGCATTTTCTCGTATGAGAACATACTTACCTCGCTTTTAGTATTATAAAATTTGCAAGGCATGGTTGGAACAAGTGCATAATTCGACGGGCAAATCTGAAGTTGATAAATTTTTAGATAGTCCATCATTCAGAGAAATAATCGGCAATGTTAGTCAGCGACTTGGTTTTTCGAACAGCCTCTCTTTCGGTATAAAATATTATTCCACGAGAATCTGAATAAATTTATTTTTCGTATAATTATTATCAGCGAATATTGATTGATCAACTTGATTTAGATGATGTTTTAATTATGTACACCGCATGCACTTTTGAAAATGCTTGGTACGTAAATGAAAGATCGCCCTGGTGTGCCGCTTTTACAAAGCACGAAGATGAACTATTCGAGTACGAAGAGGATCTGTATTATTATTACCACGCCGGTTACGGCGAAGAAATGAGCAGTGTCATTGGATGTCCACCGTTACAGGACATGTTTAATCGTTTTAGGTAAGCGTCAGTATTGTTAATATAAATACTACAAATACTGCGTTAAGGTACATCGCTGACATTTTAGAAAATTGGAGAACGAAGACTCAAGCGAAGAACCACAAGGCATTTTCTATTTCACTCATAGTACGGCGCTTCAATTGCTTTTAACAACGATGGGGGTTGCAAAAGACTCGATACCTTTGAAAGCTTCGAATTTTGAAAGTATGAGAAACAGAAAGTGGAATAGTTCCCGCCTGGCGCCGTTCGCTGCGAATCTTGCAGCCATTTTCTATAAGTACTTCAAGGATTATTTTGGATTTTGTTCTCATATTTCAGCTACTCGGATCAAATTATTCCTTTCTCGCGTTAAAACTGCTTTCAGGTGCGATTCGTCGAATAAAGTTAGGTTTTACTTAAACGAGAAACCTTTAGACTACGAAGGTTGTGAATTGGGCGTGTGCGACTGGGAATATTTGAAGGAGAAAATGGGACCCAACGCGTTCGACTGTAACACAGATTTTTGTAAAGCTGATACAACAAAATAATTATATATTACATGTAACGTAGAATCTTATTAATTATTTTATTTTTAATGGTAAGCGTTACGCAAAAGATAACAATGAAGTAATTTAATAGTAGGAGTGATTCCGTAGTGATTACGTAGATTATCGTATGTGCTTTTGTCAGGAATTGTGTTGAAGAAATTACAGTCTAACAACCTGTACGTATATGTTCGAAGCAACGAAGCTAGACGACCTTATATTACTGTCATATAAGCTGGTGTGATGAACGATATGCTCATATATGACACCTTCAAATTTAATCACGTTTACTTGATATCATCAGAAAAATCTTTATACATATTTGTTTAACTTCGAAAGAGATAGCGGAGTAATAATATTTATTATCATTTGTTATTATATTTTATTTGCTATCTATAATGACTACTGTATTACTACGTAATTACTGTACTGTATTTAAATACATAAATATAATCTACGTGCTGCGTGAAATTAGAATATTAGGATTAATGTATTTATACTTGAATATCCATTTTACACATATCTATCTCCCGAGTTAATCGGTTAATCAATTACGTATTAGTCATTTTAATTCGCTGATTTATGATTACAATTCATTGATTTATGATTTATAATTCACCGTCGATATTTAAATACATTCTACAGTATTAATAAATATTCTCGTAGAACGTAATTACTTCTTCAGTTCCAGTAACTATATAGCTTTAGCAGAGTACAAAATGTATAGACTGCACACATACGAATCAACGAAGCTTGACGACCTTATGTCAGTGGCACCTGGAATACCGTGACCAATGCTGGTCAGCAGGGGTGTGCGTTTAAACGTTGTAACGAATGATAATCTGATGCCTGAAATACTTGAAAAAAATTTCAATCTAGTTTTTTCAGTAGTTTACCTTCAATCTTCCCAGCGGTTTCTCAGAATACGAAAGAAAGATTTTTAACGATACGAACAATTTATTTTCAGAGTCTTGTAAACGTTCGTAATACGTCCATATGTGTCGTGACGAAAAATAAACTGTTATAGCAGGTTATTTTAGCGGAACTTAGGGGACTTGTTTCCCCAGGTTCTTATTGATTGCGCGTGCTCAAAGTGACGGACCTTTACGATTTTATAGAACGCATGAAACACTACGTTGGGCCAACGAAGGTTCAAAGGCTACAAACCGTAATACACAATTCGCGGGGTCTATCGCTGAAACTATACGACTTTTACACGCTAGGAGCAACGAAGCTCGACGACCTTACGGCAGTGCCACACGAGCTGCCGCCTCGAAAGGTGGTCGCGATCGGCATACAAACAACGACTACGCGCATTTCATGGTATTGTCACAGTTGACTTGTATTTTAAACAGTGATATAGTGATTATAGTAGCCAGCGATTCATGCGCAAATCCTTGATATTACTAGGGAATCCGTGGAATCTATCGTCGAAGATCGATCGTTCCAAGCGCCGCGTCGAGTCGTGAAGTTCTGAAACTTGGTCGTGCAATCTTCGTATAAAAAATAAAGAAAGAAAAAGAAAGAACGCTAAGACTTATTGATAAAAGTTGAATCTAACATAGCTTATCGTACGAATCGCATCGAATGGTTTTCGTGTCGTTTCAGTTCGAAGAATGAGAAGAAAATAATCATAAGTTTCAACGAAAGATCGATTGTGTTGAAGTGTTTATGAAACATTGATACGATCTCATTTGCCCAGAATTGCAGAGGGCAAAGCACTCCGCCGATTGAGGAAAAGTGAACAATACTGTCGGTCGCACTCTCTCTTTTCAGGTCTATAAACCCGTACTCGATTTAATGCGCTTGAACAGGACGTAAAGAATACGGTAATTTCTTATTAAGTATGAAAAATTTTTTAATTCCTAGTACGAAATAATTCCAATAAAACTATAATTTTAGTAATTTCTTGAACAATTCTTTCGACAAATTTTTGTTCTTATAATAAGATTAGTATAATCATTTTGATTTCTGATAACGTTATGATTGTACATTTTCGTAACAAGATTTAAAATACAATATTTTCGCGTTATATCTATGATAAAATAGCCCCTTTACGAAATAAAAATTATGTGAGGCAGGTCGTGAAAGCGGTGCGAATGAAACGCTGCGGCGAAATTCATTTCATTCAACTTTCGATGGAATGCCGCTTACACATCTAGGAGGAATTTCATTTGAATAAATAAGCTCGTCTGTGAATAATTAAATTGTTGAATAGTAGCAGTACGGTTCGCCAACCGTGACGCCGACGTCCTACTTTTGTTCTCAATTATCAACAAAAAGTTACAGTTCATCGATGTTTATTGAATAAAATCAATCTGTTTTAGTTTGTTTTACTTTCCTTCCGATTCACATTAGACAATTGATTCTGAGTCGGTATCAAATGTTAATATTCGTTCATGCGAAAATTTATTTTATTCATTTCATATTTCATGTTGGTATGCGTATATTAATAACGCGAAACAAATATCTCACATTTTAAAATTGAAATTACGGAACGAAACTGTTCTATCGGAATGTGGCAAAAGAATAAGCGTGTAATGTAATACGTTGAGGCTTTCCGGAAGAATCAAATCGGTACCAGGCTTACACGACACTTGGCACTTGCGGACACAAGAAATTGACAATAAGTAGGCCAAGTAGACTTATTACACTAAGAGAAGGCTTTGCTAATCAAGCCACTACCAATTTCGTTATCGTCAATCTAACTTACTCTTGAATTACTCTTTCAGCAGCCTCCCGCCTTCATAGGTTCTCCGCGAATCATTGCACATTTTATTTTATAATTTATGTTTCGGAAATTACGTTTCAATATCTATATAGATCATTCAAGAATTATATTCCTAAAAATTTCGTATATTTGTCTAACTTCATTCGCGGTATTAACATTAATTTTTATTTATATAAGTACAGTCTTAACTGTTGTTTATTGAAGCAACATTGAGACATACAAAACGAATTTTAATAAAAGTCGGCGCGTAAAGAATTAACAACTGTCGGTGTAAATTTCGAAGATGAATATCGATAAAAACAGAACAAATGTTACGCTTTAAATTCGGCTGCAAAAATAGTAACTGTACAGTAAAGACTAGAACTTCTCCAGAACCTGTTCTTAGACGCGAATTATGCAATATATGTAGCTGTTCATACGCGTAATGCGTGAACACATCTTAACTTTCACATTCACGTGCACGTTCTACATCTATCCTTAACCTTGGCAGGCAAATATCTATTGCACGTACGTATTACAATTCCTTTCGCATCATAGAATCGAAAAATCCAAGACCAGATTAAACATTAAACTCATCGATACCTTGAATCGTATGACGTTTTATAAATATTCAAATCAAAGCAGACAGTCTTCGACTTATCTTTAAATTGAAACTTTATTAAATGTAGTGTCTATTAATAAATTTATCGGTTTTGTGTATCTACCGGTTATATAAACCTTAAGATAACAAGGATAATTTCCTACTTATGTATCTGCATTTAACCGTGAAAAATAATAAAAAAGGAAGAGATGAATAAATATCCTGTTGGTTACATAAGATCTATTTTACGTATAGTTGGTCGTAGATAATTCGTAAAGCCGGTAGTAAAGTAACATGTGACATCAGCACAGGAAAATGTAGGTTTATTGCTTGCTGTACTTCAATGAAACAAAGCATTTTATGCATTCCGAGAGTTATAGAACAAGAGTTATTTGTAGCTGCTTTACGTTTCTTCGCGATTAAAGGGATCAAAATTAGTATCATATTATTAGGCTTGTAAATTAATTCGATGATTACTTAAACAAAATTCAAATTTTATGCACGAACCGCGTAATGTAGGTTTAACCAGCAGAATAATTTCCAATCTTCGTATGAAATTTTATATACATTGATAGCATCTCTTTAAGATTACTATGAAATATTACAAATATTAAAATTAAAAATAAAATTATGAAAATTTTAGAAACTAGCTAAAAAAAAATATATATATGTATATATAATTACCTCTTCCTTGTTGCAGATCAAAGAGACAATCTTTAAAAATGAATACATACGTACTATTCTTGACTTTCTTAATTAGTCACGTTTACGCGCGTGACGGTGACTCTTGTTTTGCGGACGAAGATGATCCATATTTATATATGGCCACTAAAACTGCCTACCATTTTGTCCACGCCGGTAAAACTCGGTTTCAAGATGTACCCAGTGAGTATTCGTATCATTTTTCCATTAAACTTCTCATTTAGTAAGAAGCTTCTCAATTTTTAATCGACTTATAGACTGTCATGCAGAGCAAATTTGGATGTTTGCTACACACGGTACACGATGCCCGTCTGAGACAGAGGATATCGAAATGCAAAAATTAACAAAACTACGGGATCATATAATTAGCAATCACGAAGTTCAAAACAGTGAGTTTGTCATATTTTTTCATTTCAAAATGAGGAAATTAACAGACGATTAGACTAAAATTGGAATAAAAGCAAGTCCCAAATTATCCACCATTTGGATTAAAATATTCATACGTCTTTACGTGTGACCGCGTTTCAGTATTTATTGGAAAAATTCCGAGAAGGAGGTGTTCCCGTTAAAGCAAACGCAAGTAAACCAGTTAAACTCTAATTCGGGTCATTGACACTTTTTCGTATCGATCTTCGCCACGCGTCGTTTTACATATTGATCAATAGTCCAGCGGTTAACCCTAGATTTATCGAGTTCATGTATAAATTCGTCTCTTTGAATTGGAACACGTCTGATCTTGAGCTATTAATCCATCGGAAACCTAAAAATTCACTTTCTACATCAGCGGTTCGATTTTTGCTCGTTCAACTTTCGAAATATACGCTCTTCGACAATTTTCTTTTTCACAGATGGCCGTATGTGCATCAGAGATTTAGAAAATTTAAAGAGATGGAAAACGGACGAGTACCTCAAAATCGAAAGAGCGGAAGTTTTGACACCGCAAGGTGTGGAAGATATGAGATTGCTTGCGAGACGATTGCAAAGCAATTTTCCGCAGCTTCTTCAACCATTCGACGAAAATATAACGGCGGAAAATTATGTGGTATACACTACGATCGATCCTACTAAGAATATGAAAATTTACCTATTTCACTATTCGCTAATTTCACTAAGTTGGAAAATATTAATTTTAGTTTAAAACGACCGATGCACGCGAAAGCAGCATGAGTTACTTTATGGAGGGACTGTTTGGAGACAGACAAGCGGTGGATGCGGAAGAAGTTGCCATAAATGATACTCTGCTTACAGTGAGTGTATTATTTTCCATATATAATAAGGAATAATGGTAATATACAAGTTGCAATATATAAACGTTATACGTATTCATAATGATTTGGAAATTTGTGAAGAAAATTTTCTCTAGATATTGCATAGACAGATCCCGATATTTATCTCGCTTTTCCTTTTTCCTTTAAATGCACTTGTACTATTTTTTTTAGCAAGC